AAAAAAAGAATGAGGAAATGTTAATACAAAAAAAAAAAAAAAAAATAAATATATATATATATATATATATATATATATATATATATATATATATAGTTAAATGGATTAGTAGTGCATTGTTTTTAGCTGCAGATGCATCCTTTAGTAGGAATGATCAGCTGTACACTAAAGAAATGCTGTTGTCGTATTTTAGGCAATAAAATGTTTATTATTTCAAAAAGCAGTTGAACATTTATTTATAATATTGTGGAAAAAGACATTGAATGAAAAATCTATAGAGTGTGCCAATTTTTTTATGCGATAAATCATCAGAATAATCGGTAGAATAATTGAATCATTAAAATAATCTAGTGTAAATATGCAAATGCTTGTTTAAAGGAAGACATTTCCAAATCTAGATTATTTATCTTTTAATATCTTATTTTAATAGTTTAAACAAGGCTAAGAATTTACAATATTTTTAAACTGAATATTAGAATATTCAGCAGAAAGTCGTAAAGTTATTGTAAGAAGCATATTTTTTTTCATAATTAAATGGGTGTAGGTGGCATCTTAGTGACCATGTTAGAGTGATCCATTGTGATGTTTTGTTTCCTTTCTGCAGGTTTTGTTCAGTCCCTGCAGTACTACTACCAGAGTGGCTGTTTGTACCGACTCAGAGCGCTGGGGGAGAGACACAACATGGACCTCACAGTCGGTGAGTGAAAGCAACACGTTTATACTTTAAACAATATCATGGCACTACAAAAATGTGGAGAGAAGTTGCCCTGAGTTGCTGTTCGAAGCAGTCAATCAGACACCAGGGTCTCCCGTAATCCCGCCCGCAGGCTTTGATAAATGAAGTTGACAGTTTAAATTAATTTAAACTGTCAACAGGAAATTGTGAAATAATCATTTCACAATTAAACAGTTATTTCATTATATAAACTGTCTTTTTTTAAATTAAATAAATACATTTAATTGAGATATTAACTAATTAAAATTCATTTATTTCTGTATTTATTTCCAGTTTTAAAATATTATTCACACATTTAAATAATTATGTAGTAAGTTATTTATTTATAGTAATTTGGCACTGCCCGTACAAAAATGTGGATTTATTTAACTATGTATTTGTAATAGGTAGGGATGGGAGATATATCTGCATTTAAAGTGGCAGATATATCGCCGATTTACTTGTAACAAATCAGTATCGATTCGATAAATAAAACTGGGTCGATATTAATGACCACTGTTCATTTCCAACTTCTTGCCGTTTCTGGAGAAAACAAAAACAGCCTGTTATCAAAGTGAAAACACCGCATACACCTTTATATGCATTAATATTGATGGTGGGACTCAATTAAAATTAATCAAGTTAAATGCAGGTTCTGTAATTAATTTATCAAAATTAATCACATTTTAATCAAAACCAATTGACAAAATAAGCAACATTTTCTATTCAAAAATGTTGAGTTTTACTGCTAAATTATTGAATAAATAAACTCAACCATAAAGATATTTATTGTTTTTAATTTGTTATTCAGTTTAGTCAGCCATGAGATTGATTGATTCTTCAGAAATGTGGACTATGGATGCTGACATTAGCTTTGGGGATGCTGCTATATGTTTGCATTGAGATGCTATTTTAGGCTTGAATAGCTTTGCTGATAGGCTAACTCCTTTTAGCACAACTTGAACATAACTATTGTCAAACAAAAATTTCTGAGTAATTGCATAAAAAATGTAACATGTTAAAAATCCATGTATTAATTAATTGAAATAAGCACATTAAAGTCCCAGACTTAATCAGCAACCATAGTGGAAACCATCTTAGCGCTGTCACAGAAACTAATACATCTTGTTAGCTTCTGTGCTAACAAAAGAGCACAGAATCTCTTGGAGTTTCAGCCTGTCAGAGCCTAGGAAAATTAATGGTGCTTTTGGATTGGCTGCTTTGCAAACATCAACCAATAATGTGTGAAGTTGGATTTCAGCTTTAAAGCTGCATTTTAAAAACATATGTATCTTTATGCTTGATGAAATAATCTATAGATTTTCTGTGAATAATTAG